AATGGTAAACTCTGAAATGAGTATATAATTTATTTGAAGGAAAAAACGATAGATAAAGCAATATGAACTGCGTCGTATCCACACATTTTCATAAAAATTCTGCTCCGCTTCGAGTTGCAAGTTCGCTATAACTTTTGTTTTACAAAATAGTTGTGCAAGCAACATATACCGAACGAAGCGGAAAATAGTGTAGCGTGTTAATACATATATCTAGTTTTCAGTCATTTCCAATAAAAAGAGTAATTAACAAAAACATACGTTTTTCGTTCCAAGATGGCGGCCTTTGTTTACATTTTGTAGGATGCGACTCAGTTTTGATTCCCAGCCCTGACGATTATGTATTGAAAAAGACCTGTCAGTGTACCTATAAATGCACATTCTGCAATGTGTTAGAAGATGAATTCCATCTTTTATTACAATGTAGCATGTACTCTCAATTAATAACACAATACATTCAAATTTGTAACTGGAGATCTCCAAATATGTTTAAATTTATAGAATTAATGAATACTGAAAATCAATTGTTAATTAGAAAACTGAGCATATATATTTCAAAAGCATTCGTGATGCGCTCAGATATTTTACATGGAGCTGATTTCTATGTTATTGATTTTCATATCTGTCTATATTTTTGTTTAAGCTAGACTTATAGTACTACAGCGTATGTTTTCTCTTATTATATCATTGCTCCAAGTGACATGTTGGTCAATATATGTTAGTCATATGAATATGTGATATTTTTTCTATGTCAGTCATGTAAATGTGTGTTACATCCTATATAATATATAATATAATTTTAGACTATATAGTGCAATTTACCAGGAAGCTAATCTTGTATTTCGCTTTTGACAAGATTGTACCCCTTAAGTTTCCAATCTATTCTTCATATAAAGTAGTTCATTAACGCCATATACATTTGTGTGGACAATGCACATAAATATCGCAGTTTAATCCATTTCATTAGGATACCACAGTTAATCAAGTTAAGACCATCATATCGTTATAGCGGTGTCTATTTCTATACTGTACATTGAACGTTCCACAACTCGGTATATAGGTCAGACGATATGACCATATTGATTATCTCCCAAAAAATCGCACAATATGTAAAGTTCGCTATCTATTACCAAAATTGTTTGGACAACACACATTTATATACAAATTTGTTCCATTTTATTACATAACTGCAGTTAATTATGTTAAGAAATTATATTATATTCCATCATATCGGTATAGCGGTGTCTATTCCTATACTGTACATTGAACGTTCCACAACTCGGTATATAGGTCAGACGATATGACCATATTGATTATCTCCCAAAAAATCGCACAATATGTAAAGTTCGCTATCTATTACCAAAATTGTTTGGACAATACACATTTATATACAAATTTGTTCCATTTTATTACATAACTGCAGTTAATTATGTTAAGAAATTATATTATATTCCATCATATCGGTATAGCGGTGTCTATTCCTATACTGTACATTGAACGTTCCACAACTCGGTATATAGGTCAGACGATATGACCATATTGATTAGCTCCCAAACAAAATCGCACAAAATGTAAAGTTCGCTATCTATTACCCAAATTGTTTGAAGAATAGACATTTATATACAAATTTGTTCCATTTTATTAGATAACCGCCGTTAATTATGTTAAGAAATTATATTGTATGTCAATATATTGTTAAAGCTATAGTGCGGTGGATGTTACATAACTCGATATACAGGTCGAGCGATAAGACCATAGCAATTATCTCCCGTGCACAATCAAATTTGTTAAATAAATGCTTTACATATTATTATTGTCAAAAATGGTGTATGCAGTATGTAAAAATGTATGTAAAATTCACACTTTCGTTATCAACATGATTTAAATTCAATATTCAATTGAGAAAGATTTTAATCTGTCAAATTATCTACTTCACTAGTGATAGATCGAATCTAATATGTAAAGTCAGTACAATTGGATTTTTGTTACACTTAATTATTCTTTTAAATCCTATGTTGCATATACATGTATACTTTTGACACATACGACGAAAAGGTGAATTATTATAAACATGTTCGTCATGTAATAGGTGAATATATGTTTTCATTTCCTATGTATAATGTGCTACTGTAATGCATGTATGAGATCATATCAACTTAGTTTTGATGCACGTTTGTCATATTATATATATTGCATATTGTACCACATGGGTCTATGACCTTCTGGGAAAAGATAAATAAACTTGTTAAACTTGTTGTCATAATAAATTAATGGTATACATTGACCCTGCTAGATATTTCATTTAATAGTTTAGAACAAGGTATTTGTATTTTTTAGTACATCTATTCTTTTCTTCTTCATTGTGTTTTTTGCATATGCAATGTACTCTGTTAAAAAATATTCTTTTTTTTGTACCGAAACTATACATTACCTGTTATGTAAACATTTTGTTATGTTCCACGTATTGTATTGAAAAATGCTTGGGTGAAAATAAAAGATATGTTCTGTTCTTTCCCGATCAAATAGGGCGAGGTAAAACTATTTTCGGCAAAATTTTCGCCTGGCTTTGACCTAAACGCAGTCGTTGCATACTCGGTGTCTTGCAAAATGAATTATAGTATATCAATATAACTTTGCACAAGAAAATACTTACAGATTTACAGTACGACTTTGACCATATATAGATTCAGTTTGCAAATATCAGAAAACACCACTAAGCTTGCAGTCCTTTGATTATTACATGGCTTTATTACAATCTTGCACTGTGGTTTATGTGGAAAGTGAACATGGAATTTTATTTTATTAATTGAAAATGTATCGCATGAATTCACTTGGAGATATGAAATTAAATCTTATACATAAAACGAACATTTTTTTAAATTTCTGCTGAATTGCGGCTTAAAATCTCATTTGCTCCGACATGCCATGAATATTAAAATTTAGTTCTCAAGTATTTTTTGTTACTTTTTATTCCGCTCGAAATTTAAAGAGGTTAGTACAAAGTACAAATGAGCCGTGTCATGATAAAACCAACATAGTGGGTTTGCGACCAGCATTAATCCAGACCAGCCTGCCTATCCGTGCAGTCTGATCAGGATCCATGCTGTTCGCTATCAGTTTCTCTACTTGTAATATAGTTGGTAAGCGAACAGCATGGATCCTGATCAGACTGGTCTGGATCCATGCTGGTCGCAAACCCATTATGTTGGTTTTGTCGTGACACGGCTCAAATATGAACTTTAAATGGAGATAGTGTAAACAAGTCACAAAATGACAAGACATTGCCATCATAAACGTTAAAGTTGTAACCCAAATAACAGTGTTAATCCTACTTCAGATATCTTGCAAAAATCATTTGAAAGTCACCTACTTGAAGGATGCACCCTCATGCATAAGTTAAAAACATGTCAAATGAATCACTTAAGATAAATATTCAACACACAGTCAGACATCATATCTGATTAAATTTGAACTGAACTAAATTGAAGCATTCGTTAATGCAATATTCATAACTTAATTTTTTTCCCCTTAAATAAACCTTTTAAAACATCGCTTTTTTTAAAGTTTTCTTTTTTAAAAAGGAAAGGGTCCAAATTTAACTTTTTTATAAAGATTTTTAAATTTCAAAGGGACCCTTTTTTTGCTTTTGAGGGGAAAAAATCAAATTTAAATCATAATTTTTGGGGAATTTAAAAAATCGATTTATTAAAATTTGTTAAATTTAAAAAGAAATGTAAAAGACTTCGCCTACTCGTTTTACTTTGGGGTAAAAAGCCCTTGTCCCCCAAAAGGGTGTTTAAAATTTTAATAAAGTTTTTTGGCATGTGACAAAAGGGGGAAAAGTTTTAAACATAACTCTGGGTTTTTAAAAAATTAAAATAGCATCATATTTTGGAGAAATTAAAAAAAGTTAACCTCGGGGATTGGAAACCTTGACTTTTTTCTTTATCCCAAAAACAAAACAAGGGCAAAAAAATTTAAGCGCAAAATAGCTCTTATAGTTACGAATATACTTTCGAGGTAAAATAGCATTTAGATGCCATTTGATCAATGAATGTTATTATATAGGAGCTGCAGTTTAAAGATTCAAATGAAGCGAGTGTATATTAACGTATGCCCAACTTATCAAATTCAATAACTCTAGTAAGACCAGCTATGAACATAATTATAACATTACCACTTATTTTTTGTCATTGCAGTGCAAATGAGGGAATATACATCTATCTATACAACTTGTAATAAATAAATAATTATATAGAAAAGAATAAATAATTATATAGAAAAGAAAGAAGTAATCCGATGCTCCAACATTGGATACATTTTTTAGTGTGGGGGTTCATATTGTAAGGACAGGGAACGTGTTTTTATTTTTGTCTATGATACAAAAGAGAAAGAACGTCAAAACACTCGATATTCTGATATACAGTGTATATTCAGGGGCTAAGCCCCCCTTGTATTTGTTTCTTGTTTATGGCCCAAGATAAAAAGGGCATCATTTACACACGACGCAAGCTATTACTTGTTTATGGCACATCTTGTAAACATTTTGTTTTGTAAACGGCATAAATGGGAAAGAGCGTAAGCCAGATAACTTGTTATCGACGCATGCTATAAAAGGCATCAACTGAAAACGACATAAGCTTATAATGTCATTAACGGGAATGATTGGACACAACGTAAGGTATTGTGTCGTCAATCAAAATTGTTTATAAACGATTTTATTCACAGTGATATGAACGAACATACAGGCTATATTTTTCAGCATATGATTTAGAAAAAAGCGCAACAAAACAACTTTGTCAGGTCAAAGGAAATGTTTTCAGATTGGTTTCAATACTTAAGAAATTTCTCACAAAATATATGACGAAACTTTTTCTCTTTTAAGTACATGTACCCTTTTATTACCAATCTATAACATTTCATAAAATGTACTTACGTTTTGCATCAGTAATTTTTAAGAGCAAAAATTTCATACAAATTAAGTATTCAAATTTGATCAGGCACGCAGTTGCGACATAACCTTGCTTTAAGTCAGCCAGAATTTGTGTTAAACAGTTGTTGAGGTTCTCAAAAAAAAAACAAAAAAAACAAATATGTTGAAATTGCTGGCAGTTTTTTTATTTGCCTTTGTAATCGCTGACTGGAATCAGAATCAAGGTAATCAGGATTTTATTATTTTTACATGAAATTGTATTAAAAAGCAGCGTCACTAAACTCTTATTATTAAACATGTAGTTGTATTGAAGGGCATTATCCCTACTCTTTTTTAACAGTTATCTTAAGTTAAAGTTTGTAGACTGAAAAGACACAGTTTATGATAAAATCGAAGGTTTTGTTAGTACATTTGATGTAGTTGGAAATTGTTTAAAATATTTGTAAATGTTTCAGTTTAATAATGATGATTCTGATATTTTTATAACACCTAGCGCTCATATTATTCCTCATCTTATATTTCCAGAGGTTTCATTAGGGGTATTTACGAGTGAAATGTTCGTTACCTTGCGCCGGACTACTTTAAATTTTATTTTTTACTGCTGGATAAATGACATGTTATTTGATTTAAAAATAGTAATGTAATTACATGAGATATAATTTTCAAACTATCCAATGAGTAATGAATTCCCTCTAACGTTATGCGCCTCGCGAAGCTCAATATTTTACATGTTGTTTATATAAATACATTTGCTCGTATCAACTTAATCTTTAATACTATTCAGATGATCAATAAATCATACAGATCATGGTGATTTCATTATACATGTATATCCTGATGTTGCATTACATTTGGAGATTTTAAAAATTTGTAAAAAAACTTTTATATGACCCCGTCATGAAAAAAACCCCAACCAAAAAATCGGTTTTGCGACCCAGCAGGATCCAGACCAGGCCCGCGCATCCGCGCAGTCTGATTTAGGATCCCTGCTTGGGTTTGCTGATCAGTTTCTTTTACTTTTTATAGGGTTTTTAAAACGAAAAAGTAAAGGAACCTGATTAGACTTTCGCGGAATTTCGCCCGGCTTTGGGCCTTTGGGTCCCCTGCTGGTCGCCCAAACCCCACTATCTTGGGTTTTTTTTCGTGACGCGGGTCAAATTTTTTTTTTTTAAATAAACCCTCTTGTTTAAAAACACCACCAGTATTAAGATAAAACTTTACAAATGACTTAAAATAAGAGCATAATTGTATGTAAATATCCCAAAACCGTTAATATAACGCGGATTATACCAAATCACATTCGATACACTGAAATAATTTCCGCTTAGCTTGTGTTGATGTTACTATTACAATATTCGAGCACACTAAACGTTTGACAGTTCTTACTTTTATTGAAATGTCATTCACGTCTTTGAATTTTACCAGTACAAGCAAAAGAAGAAGTGTCTGCCAAAGAAAGTCGCCTACTGAAGTTGTTGAAGGATGAGTTAGAACAGGTACAGTGTGCTTATTTGAAGTAAATGGTAACTATGTTTTTACCCTGTGAATAGTGCATTGCAATTGGCCTGCTTTATTCTTCGTAAAGAAGTTCTAGGTATACTCGTACTAGTCTATTTAAAGCTAAAGGCTGTGTTGTATAGGTAAAACATTTATATCTTATGACATACCTTGAATGTTGCGTATGATATGGTCAGTTATTTACAAGAAACATGAATCCCGTTCAAAGCGATATAGTTAATCAAAGTATAATACAAAATTTGACGCGTGGAAGATGTTATAGATAACCCTTCTTCAGAGTTTAAAACATAGTTTAGTGACATTTCTGTGCCAGATTCTGTCATTAAGAACGTGGTTTTCTAGCAGATATGTTAATTCCTTTTTAATTATTAAATAAAACGCATCTAAGGGAGAAACAGGCTAAATTTTCATTTCTTCGTTTTGAATTTTTCACTCATTAACCTGTAAATGTTCTCCAAATATATACACTAGGCATTCAAAGGAACAAAACTTTTCTCCTTATAAAGATGAAAGGATGGTTTCCTAACCTGACCCACGTTGGTCATGTTAGAGCGTTAAGATTTCACAATATTTGTCACAGTGAACTCTGGAAACGTTAAAGAACAAGTCAAATGAATTATTTAGGTTTGTTTCAATCAGTCTATATCCACAATATCTGTTATAATTGTTACTTCCAGGTTTTGTTCAAGTCACATGACTAGTTTTAAAACTACTCGGTGATTCTGTCGGTGTTTAAATTTCGTTCAACATAATTATATAGATATATTAACGCTTCAAAGCCAAAATATATAGAATTTATACAGAAATTCATGCTGGGACTTTAACAAATGCCACTTCAGCGTGATTCGAGTACAAAAGTTAATTTTGATATTTTTGTCATTAGTTTGCCGGAGTATCTAAAATCAATTGCAATTGATGTACATAGTTTTATAAATAGAACGTGGTTCGATTCTAATTAGGTGACCAAGAACATGGAGAGAGATTTTAAAAGATTTATAAATGTCTAAAAAGTATTGGTACGTTACTCAGCATTTCATTATTCAAAAAAAGATCTTGTTTAAAATTAAGCTTGAATCTGTATATATTTTTTAATTTTCAGATAAAGAGGGATTCTGACCCATGTGGTTCAGATACATGTGATGATGAATTGCAGGTTTGAATGCTGTTTGAATTATTGCAATGACCAATGGGCTGTTTTGAAAGCATGCTTACAATAATTGAAGATGAGGTATATTTAACACTTTTGAGATTTAACAATAGTTATGTATAAAGCTGTTCACAAGGACCATTTTCTGATTAATATTGCATATGGTATGGTTTCAAACAAGCATGAGTTTTAATGAGTTGTGCTAGACGTCGTGACTCTAAAAACGTCATTGTCATTTTCATGTTTGGAACAGCTCACTTTTTGAACGGGAAGTGACACCAGTGTATTGCTTACTTTGTATTAATGATATGTGTCATCTCTCATATGTCTTTCTTTCGAGACAAGTTATTAATGCTCTGCATTTAGGTGTGACTAAAATGTTCGTTTTTTTCGATTAAGGGTACGGCCAGTGCTAACACATTTCGTATTCTCCAACTCAATGACACAACTTTATTTTTAAGCTTTACCTTAACTTAGTGTAATTCTGCCTGCACTAAGAGAAACTATATGTGCGTCATTTGGTGTATTTTCTGTATACTATAAATTATAGATCTGATCTGAATGAATATTTTTTTTTCTTTCTTTCAGAGGTCAGCTGTATTAAAAGTAAGTTTGCTTAATATTTACTTATGTTATTAAACAGTATTTTGACATAACGATTACATTGCTGAATAAGCAAACACCTAATAATTGCAAATGACCAATGTATGTGTTGAAAACCGACAACAATGTTATTGCACGAACCAACTGTAACACAAACAACTTTTACTTTCGGAAAAATGAGATCTGAGCTTTTATCAATCATTTTTATAAATATTTGGATTTCGAAACTTACCTGCAATTTGTATAAGTAATCTAATTGTTGAAATTTGTAATACGTACCAAATAAGATGACATTTAATGTAAGCAACACGCCTCGTATGATCATTTGAGCCGCGTCACGACAAAACCAACATAATGGGTTTGCGACCAGCATGGATTCAGACCAGCCTGCACAAACCCGGGAGTCTGGCAGGTCATTTCTTTCGGGTTTTCAGTTTTTGACTTGTAAAAAATTTTTGGGTTAATTGGGGGGACCCCAAACGGCCCTGGTCCTGAAACAGACTGCGCGAAAGCGCAGGCCCGGGCTGGAATTTCCCTGCGGATGTTTTGGTTTTGTGTGAAAGCGGGTCATTTTAAAAAAATATTGTCCTAAATACCGATTCTTTTCTATTATTTCGGGTATTCACTTTAGGGTAAACCACCTTATCTACTTGTAAAACAGGACCGGTTAATATCAAGATATAGTTTCTGAACAGCAATCTCTTGTTTTTAGCATTTATCAATATTGGTTTGTTTTCTTTTTTACATGTACCGTTAGCAACCAGTAGGAGACGATTTTCAGAAACGAGGCCAAATAATCACGGTGGTGGATAATGTGCATAAGTTGAGAGGGGAGTGAGAACATTTGACTGATTTTTTTGTAAACCATCTTGTTTTCCTTGCTGTAACACTCATACGACAGTTAACACTGCGTCTATATAAATGTAGATATAGAAAGTATGATTCAGTTACTATATTTCTACCATTTGTATTAGCTGTTGTACCTCAGTTGTAGACCAATTGCTCATTTAATGCCAGTTTGTAGAGATTTGTTATATATTTTTATCATTTTATTTTGCAATATTTAATTTAGTTATTTCGTATTTACGTACTGTATGTTTTTGACAAATTAGATAAAATAATTATTTATGGAATATTGTTATTGATATTATGGTAAAATATTTTGATAAAACATTATTTCTTTTTATTGTATTTGTAATTTTAAGAATATAAGTTTTGGAAAAACAATTTACTTCTTCATTAAATAACCTTTGGCGCAGTATCTATTTTGTTTGAGTGAATTCTAGATTTATTGATTATACGATAAGTTAAATAAATCAATACTTTATTTTTGTCTGAATATTTACTTTGATTCTCTTACTCTTGTCACAATTCATTTTTATGATTATTTAGATACACAATAATATAATAAATATTATTTAAAACTGTCTTGCAATTGTTTTTTTTAATTGTTTTTTTTTTGAAAATCACGGTGTCAAAGCATACACTGGAAGTTGACAATTCTTCGATTGTATAATGTACATTTGTCATTTATCCACTTGGTCTTTCTTTTTTATTTTTTTCTGACATATCTTACGATTTCTAAGTCTGTGAAAATGTAATCTTGCCATATTATTTTGATCCCATTTGTTGTAAACTGTATATGGTAGTAAATATAAAAGAACAGATTGCAAATAAAAACACATATTAATAATTCCCTACACATATTGTTTGTAAATAGATCGTTCTGTTTAGATATATATTCGATCCAATATTTTATTGAGCAAAACATAAATATCCATCGCCAATATATCATAGATACACTGGCGGTACAAATACAAAGAAAAAAAGCATACAGTCATGTTAACTTATTCTATCAAATTCTGCCGACAATAACAAAACAATAAGATACTAAATATGATGTTTAACATATATAAAACAAATTCTTATTACATTAGTCACGTCTGATATTGTTTTCGCGCCAAAAAGATAAGTTTTGTAAACGTATTTTGCAAGTTTATTGATAACATTACTGTGTCGACAATTTAAAAGAGATTTGAATTTAACAAACTTGGCCAAAAGCAAGCTGTCTGTAAAAAGGACATACTAAAAGAAAATGATAATCATTCTCTATACTTATCACATTACATTTATTGCATACATAAGTTGAACGTTTTCCCAAGTTTTTTTAAAATTTAATTTGACATTTTTGTAGTATAACATTGTAATGTCATTTTTAATAAAGTCAATTTTGGATGACTTATAGGTAAAAATCACAAGTTTTGAAATGCATGTAATAATGCCGTGTTACGGATAATCCTGAAAAGAAAGTTAACAATTCGGACATGCTTTTGTGCTTTTAAACGATGTCGTACCTTCGTGTTATCGCTTTTTCGCATCTTGAGGCAAATAGCGAAAATACAACATGGCGTTAATCAGCCACCATATTTTATAGAAAATTTGCATTCATAAACATGAAACAAATATGTTATCTGCCAAAGCACAAGTAAAACAGCCTTATTTCATGATGAAATGTGGATATGTCCTCGTTTGGGTTTTGGATGATTCAATTTTATTTTTTATCAGTGAACGTATAAACATTGTATCGCACGAGTTAACTTTATGAAATAAATATATCAAAATGAACAGTTATTTATCTAACATATGCTGAAATGCAGTTTCAAATCCCATTTGTCCTATCAACCATGAATTCTAAAATCTAGCTTGCCTACTTGAAATCTACGAAATCTACATTTGCATTTCAATACGCTCAAGAAACGTAAGTACAAAAATGTGCTTACGATGTAATATTTTGTTGAAAAAAGTTATCAGCGAAATTAACCATTAAAACATGTAGATCTTATACTCGAGTTAGGGAACTGTTACGTGAGATGCTTGTCGAAGTAGGCTTAAACCCTTATGATTATGGGACTTACAGTTTAAAACCAGCGCTGTTAATAATTTATGTGATAGACTTTTTAAGATAACAGATTTACATATTACAAATATAGCAAATTATTGATGGATATTCACCACAGTCAGCCGTCATATCTGATTATATTTGTACTGAAATAAGTTGATGCAACAGAAAAGTAATAAACTCAATCTATTTTAAGTCAGTTTCATTAAATGTTACGTCATTTGTATTTGCATAATGAAAAAAAAAATCGTGCATGACTCTTTGAGGTTTTAAAATAAATCATATTTTGTTTGTATTTCCTTGGTGACATCTGTTAAAAGCGACGAACATTAGTGAATTGTAGTTGATTTACTAATCAGTTTAAATCAAAGGGTGGTAAGGGAGCATATAAATGGTACATTTACATTTCAAAATGACTGATTTACCCTCACCAAGCTAAACAAATATATTGTTAAGACGTGTCAATTTTTCAGTTCGGAACAAATCATTGTACATGACGTAAGGTTACGTTAATTTTTGATGTATAAGCTTTATTAAACGTAAAGACTTACATGCTTTGTGATTTTGTTACTATACACGTAAAGTTATTTTGTTATTGCTGTCTTATTCGTATTTTTTCATTTTAAAGATTTAATTGCTAATTGATACAGTAATTGATACGTCCCTTTCCTCCCTTCTCCGTCCCTGTGTCCTACTAGGCGCCTTTCCGTTCAAATTTGTGTTCATATCTTATTGAAATACAACTTAGCAAAACCTCCAATCATCTTTATAATAAATAATATCCAATTTACCTCGAAGGAAAGAAATAATCAAATATTGATAATTACTTTAACTTGTACAAGTAACTATAATGGCCGCTTTTTTGAACTGAATAGGATTTCAATCATCCCTGTTTTATTTGGTACATAGCACTATATAGATACTATTTCAGTAAATTTGAACAAGCTAAACGTAATGTAGTATAGAAAATATTATCTAGTGTAAGAATGCCTGATTGTCTATTATGATGCATATGAAAATATGAGAAACGGATGATCCCTAAGAAGCAATGGAAGCACCAATACGTTCATTATTTGTATTACTTAAAGACTCAGTTAAAATTGAGTCAGTTATGTGAGTGAATAAAGTGACAACATAAAATCATCCATGCATTGGCTATATATAAAGGTAGATAAAGGAATTATTAATGTCATATTTTTGAATAGACCCAGTCCGGAATTAAGAATATTGTTTTTTTTTCAGCTATGAACTTAGGTACAAACAACTTTTTACAGTAACGGCTTAGAAAATAAACGAAACAGGTTGGCTTTTCTATTGTGACGGGTAGTGTACTGTGAAGGTATAGCGCTAAAATAAGTTTGTACCCACAGATTAGCTGTTAAAAAACCTACTTTGCCGAATTCCGGATAACGTCTGTTTCATTAAAGTCGTTCAGATTATAAATTACATATAATTTATTCTAGATATTTTTATTAAACCAATGTTTATGGAAAGTGTATATTATAGGATAAAAGAATGGTTGATTTTCGATTTTATTATCCCCAGTCATGTGTGGTTTGCTTATCATATTTAAACGCTTGGTCTTTATATCAGTTGCTATTTAATAAACTAAACTCAAACAAAAATAAAAAGAAATTAAAAAAAAAATTATTGAAGCAGCTTTGCTATTTGTTTACCTGAACTATTTTAGTTTTTATAATAGTGGGACTCTATTTTCGACACTTAGAGTGTTGGAAACAAAGATCCCGAAGGACCAGAAGAAAAAACATAACAGCACTTAAGTTAAATACGTGGCACTTGAAAACTGCTGTTGTGAAGTATAAAAATCTGGATAAAGTGTGATCCCTCGGGAGCATTTATCACGACAAATTTACATGAAAATTGCAGGTACACGAGGGAATAACATCCCTCACGCACCTTCTAACAACGGCTTTAGCGGTTATAAAATTTCAATGATTTTAATTTCGTAAGCATAAGTGTATACATTCACAATTTTAACATTCCTCAATAAAAAAGTTATATATTTATGTTTGTTTTATATAATAAGAACATTTAAGCAATACATTAAATCGAGTTGATTTTCGACCAATATTAAATGTTTACAAAAATTATACATTTTATCCTGTTGCCCATTTCTAACATTTCAAAACATATATTGTTTTGTTGTTATTCATCAAACACTGGCCTTTACCCATTTATACATTTCAAAACTTATTTTTTGTTGTTATTCATCAAACAGTAAGATTTTGATTAAGTAACCGGGTGAGAAATTTTGACAGGCTTGCATTTTCGACGTGCGCTTGCTATGTTATAAAAAGAGCATGAAAACACGAAGCTATCTGATTTGTTCGAGGGGGCGCAGCTCCCGAGTATAAATCAGATTAGCGAGTGTTTTTGTGTTGTTTCATTTTTGTATCATAGTTATTTGAACATAGTTATAAAAACACGTAACCTGTTGTCACAATACGATACTCAAGAAAAAGAAACCAATAAAGAGCATCTTGTATCATAGTTTGGAGACCTTTCTGTTGAAAATGTGTCAGGGTTAAATCGTATACATATTCAAAATGTACATGCACAGTGCGTTAACTGGAGTGCGGGTATGAGTTACTAATTTAGCGAAAATCTTCTCGCCAAAACAGTACGACATGTATATATTCCACTACTCGACAGTCAGATTTATGTGTACTACGCTCTGGAGTATTCGGTAATCGACATAGCTAAAAATAGCATTTTCATTGATTAAGCTTTACGGAAATAGCCGAACATTTTTCATTGGGTAAAAAAGATATTCATCCGCGAAATTTGTGATTGTAACCTCATATTTCTATTGACTACTCTAAACTTTTAATGCACTGTAATTCGTTAAATGCATACATTAAAAATTATTCTTTATTTTAAATTGCTGGTTTTTAAGCAGTTCTGAGTGATAACTACTTTGCGTTGTTTGGTCTGTTAGGAAAATTTGTGTTAGACCGTGGATGTTAGCTATGTATTTACTGATCTTGCGATCAGAAAATACAAAAACCGAATTTCTCGTCGTCTTCTATAACCCTATTATTAAATTAGCGTTTGATATATTAACTTAATAAGGGCAACGTTGACTGTAAATCGGTATAAGATTTTCTGCATCTTCGGTATTGTTTTTTTTATCACCTTTAGACATAACAGGACGCTTATAGTATCCAGGGTAATAGGTATTTACTTTGTATAAATACACTATAATCTTAATGGAATTTTGTTCTTTCAGAGGTAAATTGAAGGTATTAGAGTACTATAGTAAGTTTACATTTATTTTTCATATGAAATTAAACAGTATTTGGACATAACAAATTCATTATTTGATACACAAAGAACTTATAATTACAGAAGTCCAACATTCTGAAAATGAAATTACAATTGGATATTTAGTTTGTAGCAATGAAACGTACACATCCACCCAAAGGGTCGATATTCACACCATCTCGGGCTTCACTTGATTTATATAGATTTTTATAGGAAAAAGACGTTTAAGTCTTATTATATGAAAGCACAATTCCCAGAGCAATGATATTTTGTTTATAGAATAGACCTGTGGACCTTTACAATATATTGGCTCCTTCACGAGGGTCACTGGATTTATATGTACAAATTGGAAAATACATTTAAAAGAAGTCTTATTCTGTGACACTACAAGGACTAGGACTTTTCTGGCATTTAGAAATGACTTTAGAACCTCAAGAAACAATGATATATTAATAATAGATTATTTTCTTTTCGTCAATATTTTCCCTATCCTGGTGGCACTTAGTTAATATAGATTCATATAGGAAAACATATTTTATATTATTATGCAAAGCTTATATATATACTTAGAGCTTAAACATTTGGCATGTGACACTACCCTTTCAACATCCACAAGACCTTTATTAACCACAGCCCTGAAATAGGGTTACTTGATGAAAATAAACTTCTATAAGGAAACTCATATAAGTCTTATTTTGTGAAATTACTCAAAGATTTGATACAGGTAATTTACAGGTAGCAATGTTTAGTTTGACCTTTAGAAAAGTTACCTAAATAATGACCCTGAGGTAAAAATAAGCCCCAGCATTGTTGTCATTAAGTTTATTGAGACTTTTATTATAAACATATTTTGAATTATTTTTCCTACTTAACTATAAAATGATTCTAATACGACCCGGCATGATTTTCATCATAACATTTTTTTCTGATTTGTTTGGTTCTAATAGGTGTAATAATAATAATAATAATATAATTAATAAATAACAGATCTAATAGAATCATCATAATGATTTAGATCTTAAAAGAGACCTTTCCACAGTTTTTTGTTATTATAGATATACAAATTTATACACTTTTAATCCGTCTATCTGTTTATCCGTTCATCAGAATTTTGTTTCTGCGCAGGCTGTCCGGATCCATGCTAGTCGTAAAAATGTTGGTTTTGTCATGACACGGCTGATATTTGTTTCAAACTGTTCGTGCAAATCAGATTAATATACAATGTCGTCGGAAGCCTCCATCCATTTCTTAACACAATTCAAGTCTTTAACCATAATCAGTAAACCAGGCGTACTCGTTGCGTTAACACATGATTTATGATGACTGCAGTTCTGCGCCATTCGTATTCGTGGATTCCGACGAAGAGTTTTCATATGACTCTAGTATACTTTCACCTCAGACTGTTATTATTCATGCAAATACGCCACACTTCCGAAGTCGCCCGAAGCCAATCAAGTATGATTTTGAGTAATTAGCGATCTTTAAACATGCTTTTCCTCAGCTAAATGTTAATGCACAAACAACGTCTTGTAAATCTTAACATAATCGTTTTCTCTATACGTTTAATTATCAAATAAAGTTGGTTTTTTTTGGCTATTTCAAGGGACACAAAACATGCAAAATGCAAAATCTTATTTTTGCAACGAAGCAATAAGCCATATCTGAAATTAATCATGGCTATGAAGGTTGTCTGAAGATTTTTTTATTTCTTACTTGCCTTTAATGCATCTTTATATTATTATGTAAATTTTGTTAACGTAACTAAATTTGCTTTTAACTCTGAATATAGTCAGTGATAAGTTGGTAGTTGAGATATAAGTTCGCTACATTGATATCATTATACAAAACGGGGAACATTCTTGAGCACGAAAGAAGTTTGGACGAGGAAAACAGAAGGAATTAATTCTCGTACTCGTAAGCAAACATGTTTAAACTGCTGGCAGTGTGCTTATTCGCCTTTGCAATTGCAAAATGGAAACAAAATGGTAATTATATATATTTATTCTTATTCTATTAAAGGTCCACTGCACTACATTTATTACAATTAATTTGAATGCATTTATCTATTTATTTATTTATTTATTTATTTATTTTGCAAATGAAGGGACAGTATGGGATACAAACAAAGCGTTTATTGTATATTTGAGAAATTATAGTTTATCGGGAAAAAGTTAAATAAGGAAAGTAACATTGTTAGTTAATAGGATTCCAATATGTTTTTACATGATTGGCCAAGAGATATTTATCTAAAATTAAAAATATTAATGTACCAGTTGATGAAGCTCTCGACCCGTATGTTGTCTGCACTTTTTCAGATCATTTGCGTGCTTAAATCTTTCAGAATAAGTATTTAACTGTGAAAAGTGACCCAAAATTTAAAAGCGTTAGAAGGCTTTTCACTACTCTCATTGGGCTAGAATAGCACAAAATACGATATTCAACTTATTTCGAAACAAAGATCTACATTGAATTACCTTTTTGCATATCTCTCTGATTGAAGTGCCCCAGCTGATCTATGTAAAAGACTCAAAGTTTATGTATTTAGGTTTTTGTTTTATCTCAGTCGAGTTCCTTTAATGAGTAAAATACTGACGCTCTTAATAACACTAAACACCAACTTTCATTTCATCAACAAAATCATATAAAATTATTTTTAACGTTTTTATCAATTGAAATATAACAAACTACCATGACCTATGTATTTGTTATATGTATAAATTGTTCAAAATACATGTACTTACTTATCGAAATTATTCTGAGAAGGTAGAATTAAGTAAACTAGGTTCGTTCTCACAGTCATGATATATTTTTTTTTGTTTGGGTTTTACGTCACATCGACACAGTATAGGTCATATCGCGACGTTCCAGATTTACTGGTGGAGGAAGACCTTAGGTGCCCTTCCGTGCATTATTTCAGGCACGAACGGGCACCTGAGTAGAACCACCGACGTTCCGTAAGCTAGCTGGATAGCTTCCTCACATGAAAGAATCCAAAGTCCCTGTCCGGATTCGAACCCACAGCGATGAAGGGCAAGTTATTTGAAGTCAACGACCTTAACCACTCGGCCACGGACGCCCCCCAGTCATGTTATGAATCTTACCAAGATGTCATAACCGGATCTGTGACACAGATATAATTAAAACTTGTTGCCAACTAAAGACATCTTCTTAATGAGGAGAAAGCCATGAGCTTTTTGAGAAGCTCTCTCCTTATGTTTTCAATATCGATAAACAATTCCAATACTTTATAATTTAATACTTTCCCCTTGTTGCTGAAGGGTTGCCTTTAAGGTTTGCAATCATCGTTTATCCATGCGTGATCGTGAGTTTCGATTAAATGTGTCTATGCATATCTTAGTTCCAGTAGGCAAGGTGGTGTTGCCTTGAAGTTTGTAACACCCGAGGCTATTCAAAACAATCTTTTTTTTTGTTTCGGCACCATATAACCTGTACTGTGATGATGCGACGCAAAACCAAACAACCCAAACAAAAACTATCGCTGAAACAGGTTTTAGTAGTGATTGATCTATTCAGACCATGATAATCACATTTCTACGTAAAATGATAGTTTAGCATTATACCATGTCATTTTTAACTGTTAACTATCAATCACATGGGCTTTGACGAAACATTTCATTACTATTTTGTTTTTAATTTCATGTCTCTGAAAATATTCCTTATAAACTTTACCAATTTCTTTGGTGCCATAATCCAGCACATGTAATATAATTGGGGATTGATCTTAATAATATCATTTCTGAATAGTTTGACAAAAACCCTTCATACCTCTTGTTTGAGTCTTCTATCATCTTGACCACCCGAAATTTAACATTTTAAGTTTTATTTGCAATGTCATTTTAGTACAAGCAACAGGAGATCTGAATGCAGAAGAAATGCACCTACTCGATATGACAGAGGAAGGAGTAAAACAGGTATTTCTTTAAATTACAGAAAAATAAATAATGACTGCATTTTATTTGTACATGTTAACGGAACGTTGCGATGTTGCTGTTGCAGCACAGTGTTATAAGCATAATTATAAACATTCTTGTTTATTTATTAATTGTATAAAAAATTCTAAAAAATAAAATAATCAAAATGTTGTGTTTGATATATTTAGCCTAAACATAAAACGTAATTCGTTTTAAAAAAATCTAAGATATCATAATTAATAGGTTTGTTTGTTTTCTAAGCGATGAAAGACACTAACCGATTTAACATCATTAGAACATACTCCAGTACTCGGCAAATATGGGGACATTATTCTTTTTCCAACAGATGATATTATTGAATTAGAATACGTTCGCGATCTTAACAGGCACACGTTTAATCATATGAATACATGACGACGCATAAACATCAAAAACGGTTGTTTTGTTTTTATCATTATTTTTTTTTCTTCAAATTAAGCTAAATAATTATGTTCTATACAGGTCAATAGTGATTCTGATTACTGTTCTGCTGGTGGATTTGGTGTTGATGAAAGGCAGGCATGCTGCGAACAAAGGTGCAGAGACATGGACTGTGTTACAAGATGCCTCTTGGATCAAGATAAGGTAACCTTGTTAGTTATAACAAAAAAAAATAACAGGTCACATGACTTCGTAAAAAGGCGTGTCTTATTCATAGTAGTTATTTAGGTTTGCCTGATAGATTTCAATAAACTGTTTAAATCAAGTGGTTCGTGGTTCCTTACTGTCTGATCCATATTTTCATCAAGGATTTTTTTATCTTTCTTTTTTCAATTACTAACGTTTTAGATCTGTTTGCAGTTCCCAAAGGGGCGTATTTTTAAAACAATATATATACATGTACTATTTCTTAACTGTGAAACCATGGTTTTTGAAGCATATTTACTATTTCAGAGACTAGCTACAGGTATCCAAATATTTAGGTAAGTTTGTTTTTGTTTAAATATTTACATATAATAATTACATATACCCTATTTTTTTTAAAGGAAATAGAATCATAAATTTGTAAAATTGTTGCAAGCTGCTGAATTTAAAGTAAACCAACGATCAATACTAACACCGAAATACAAGGTTGAATGTATTTTAGCAAATACATTAATCTAGTATATCTTTTTTATTTCTCAGTTATAATGGAAATGGTACAGAGAAGAGAGGATCTGTAGGATATATGACATCGGTAAGGACTATGAGTATTGGTCGGAGAAGTTCATACCTTTGTTCAAAGAGAAGATCACACTCCCGAAATGCTGCACGTTTATCACGACATAGCCGTGTCGAGAAATTTTGAGTTTATTGTACATGACTTGAAATTTGAAAGAGAATGTTTTTTGAGTGACCGATAGATAATTCATGTAATTATATTCTAGTAGAGCCTTTTCTTTGCCCCCTCTCTTCCATTCACACTCTCAGCGCATACTATTTAAACGTAAAATAGTGCTCTTAGTCTGTATGTGCAAAATTGCGTATTACAAATTGTATATAGAGATTGTAATCGTTTAATTGGCCATATTTTTCAAAACCATTCCATTTTCTTTGTTTATCAAGAGAATTGCCTAACACCTAAATACATTCTATGAAAGGTAGTTCTTTTTATGTAGTACTATGATTTAACTTAAATTATATCAGAACTTACTTCACCTTGTGTATCATAAATACTATTGACACTTTGAATTATTTCTTTTTGATATATCAGTTATTGCTCTTATAATTGTATGCAAGTTTTTAAACAGATTTTGTTTCATTTTACTTTGTGATATTGACATACGTCTCGACTAAAGATTATAAGAACTCTCTATTGTTGTACATTAGAAAACGTGATGTTTCCAATTTTGCACTTATAAGTGTAATTTATTAGATTCTGTCAAATAAATATATGGATGCTATTTCATGAGTGTATGTTCAATACTGAATTTATTGAACGAGTTGAAAGAAAACAATATAATGCAAACCTCTGGTTGGCGGCTGATTTGGAACGCTTTTGTGCGTTTGGCGTGCTTCCGCTAGAGACAGGACGACAAGAAGACAGCGTGACAACACGCTGTTTGGCGCTTTGTCGTGTTGTCGCTAGCGACCAGACGAAAAAGGCGATAACGATATAGACATATATATATATATCGATAACGCAACGGGCAATGTACCAAATCAGCCACCATACTCTGACGAGCATCATATTATTTTATTCAATGAGTCCAATAAATATAAACCAACAGAAATTAAGTATTCTCTTTGTTTGTTTGTTTGTTTGTTTTGGGTTTTACGTCACATCGAAACAGTATAGGTCATATCGCGACGTTCCAGCTTTACTGGTGGAGGAAGACCTCAGGTGCCCTTTCGTGCATTATTTCAGGCACGAACGGGCACCTGAGTAGAACCACCGACGTTCCGTAAGCTAGCTGGATAGCTTCCTCACATGAAAGAATCCAAAGCCCCTGTCGGGATTCGAACCCACAGAGGTGAGGGGCAAGTGGTTTGTAGTCAACGACCTTAACCACTCGGCCACGGACGCCCCAAGTATTCTCTTTATCACATACCCAAAATAAGGAGTGTTAAAATTACAAAAGATTCATTTATCATTGACGCGCCTGCAGTGTAATGCTAACATTAAGCTCGTCTTTACAATATGTTTGTATAACGCAAATGACGTAATGTCAAAATATATATACCGTTTCTACGCAGTTGCATAATCGGCACGGGTATATGATAAATTTCTTAAAGTACATTGGTCTATTATGGAAGGTCTGTAATACGATGCATTATTACATGGAAAGTATTTAGTATCGACACAATACAAAACAAACTACGAACGAAATATAGAGTGATGTTGTCGGCAAGTGTGCGATACATGATCCAATATTACAAATATTTTTATAGCAGATAATAAAATGTTCCATAACAAGATATTATTCTTTAGCACTTTTATCAACATGACTTTTTCAAGTAATATTATATAAGAATATCCAAATGATACATTTATTTTGTTTCAAATATTCTATCAATACTTAAATTAATGGAAAGTATGCCCATTTCAAACCAATCCATGTTAAATAACCCCTTAAATGTTTATAATTTTTGTTATGTACTAGTTTTGGAGGTTACGTATTGCATAATATCAATACTTTCGAATTTAGAAACTATGATACTCTATCTCACAGTGTCAATGACAAATCAATTATCCCTCA